GAATTAAAAGAATTATGGTGAAATCCAGCAAAGGACGTTGACTTGCTAAAGAATTTAGTCTAAAGCAAAAGGTTACCCCCAAAATACTAAATCATTTTTTGACTTGTATAATGTACATATGTACACCTGTATTAATACACCTGTATTAATAAACGAATTCTATCACTCACTTGTCTTGGTAAAAATATATAAATCGACTTTCTATGGATGCGTCCATGTTTTTTTGCCTCGTACTGTATAAATATTTACTTTATTATTTAAGCATTCAATCTATCTATTATTTGGAATGTTCAAATCTATCTCTAACGGACTCTAAATGTATCTATCACAGCCTGTTCAAATCTATCTCTAACGGACTCTAAATGTATCTAACGGAAATCTATCTCTAACGGACTCTAAATGTATCTATCACAGCCTGTTCAAATCTATCTCTAACGGACTCTAAATGTATCTATCACAGCCTGTTCAAATCTATCCCTAACGGACTCTAAATGTATCTATCACAGCCTGTTCAAATCTATCTCTAACGGACTCTAAATGTATCTATCACAGCCTGTTCAAATCTATCTATCTAAAATAAAAAATGATTTAGGAACGATAACGATCCTAAGCTTAATTCCTTAATGGATAAACGTTATCTAGAGGAAACGCGACGAGGGTAAATTGAAACGCTTCCAGTGGCCTAGTCAGAATCCTGACCATAACCCGATTGAAAACCTTTGGGCGATAATGGACAAGCGTGCCCGTAATAGGAAAGTTAACACAGAAGATGAGCTTTTTCGCCAATTAAAAGAATGCTGTAGAAATCTGACTTACTAAGAAATTTAGTCTATCGCAAACCACAAAGAATAAAGGCCGTTATTAAAGCAACAGTTTCCCAACAAAATACTAAATCATTTTTAATTTGTATAATGTACACATGTACACCTGTATTAATAAATGAATTCTATTACTCATTTGTCTTGGTAAAAATACAGAAAAAACGATTTTCTATTGTGTTTTGTCTCTGGGTTTGTTATTTTTGCCTCATGTTTTGAATGGTTTAGTGACAATAACGATCCTAGGCATAATCCCTTAAAGAATAAACGTCATCTAGAGAGGAAGCTCATTGAGGGTAAATTGCAACTCTTCCTGTGGCCTAGTCACAGTCCTGACCTTAACCCAATTGAAAACCTTTGGGCGATAATGGACAAGCGTGTCCGTAATAGGAAAATTAACGTAGAACATGTGCTTTTTCGAGAATTAAAAGAATGCTGTAGAAATCTGGCAATGGGTGTTGACTTGCTAAAGAATTTAGTCTATAGCATGCCATGAAGAATTAAGGCCATTATTAAAGCAAAAGATTACCCAACACAATACTAAATCATTCTGTTTACGATGTAATCTTGTGATATTTTAATAGTAGTAGTAGTAGGGTTTATTTTGTGCTTAATTTTTTCCCAACTACATCATCGATAAACAAATAAAATTATTCTAACAAAAATACATGATACCAGTAATAAAAATATCATACAACAAAACATCAATGTATTTTACTGCAACCAGATGCACAATAATTAAAATCAAGGCGAATTCGCTATACATCAAATCAATAAACATCATATTTCTGCTGAAAAAAAACCAAAATATATTACAAAAAATCGAAAACTACAAACTTCGTCGTCACTAATCAAAATGACCTTATCAAATCTAAACTAGCAATGACCAAAATGGTGTACCAATTTCACTGCCCAGTACAAGACTGTGGTTTTTGTCATAAATCAATTACCGTTATCGGTTATACCACCACCTCCTTAAGTAGACACCTTAACTGAACAAGGTATTTAACCACCCACAATTTACAACAACACATAAAGAAGATTCTGGTTGATAACACTAGCATCCTATATAGGTCCTGTTATCGAAAACCTCTGGCTGTGCGAGGGCCCTTTACATAAAACATCTGGCACCCAGTATAAATCTATATCTCTATTCAGTAGCAGAATGGTGTGTTGAAGGGTTTGTTTTTTTAACTAGAAAACGTCAACTCGAATTCCAGCCACACTCAACTCACGAAGATCGGAATAAAAGCTACTATTATTCAAACATCACAAAACTATATTCTTATACATACAAACATGAAAAAAATATTAACACTTAAAAACAAACCAACTTGGAAATGGCTAAACAAGTGGCCGAAAGCGCTTGGGACAATAGACAATACAGACAATATTTACATTCCTTTGCTCCCAACAAATTGAAAAATGTAAGAATGTTGGAAAAAACTAAATAAAAAATTAATCAAATTTTCCTTATCTGTCACATTCAACGAAACATATATATTCAGCTGCTGCCAAACACGCTGTAACATGTCTTGGGTGACATTCCTTCAGCGTTTCAGTTATCCTCTGCTTAAGTTCCTCTAGGTTTGTAGGAAGAGCTGTCTTTTCACATAGCCCTATAGAAAATATCACAAAGGGTCAAGTCAGGTGAACGTGATGGCCATTTCAACAGCACATTGTTATTATCATTGGCACGCCCTATCCATATTCTTCGTTGTTTCGCATTAAGTGCACACTGAGGCGCAGGAGAATGTTACACAAGACATGCTACAGCGTGTTTGTCAGGAGCTGGACTATCGAGTTGACGGGTGTCGTGTCACAGGGGGTCCATGTTGAACATTTGTAGAGCTTTGTGAAATCTTACTTATTATAAAACGCAGATTGTGTGTTTGTGTGTGTGTCTGTACGTTTATATATTGGATCGGATTTCCTACATTTTTTCAACCGATTTCAACAAAACTTCACAGGACTACGTAAAATTACCTTGCGGTGGTTCTGACAGCGCCAGAAATTGAAAAACACAATTGTTTTTGCACGAAATCAATTTAAAAACACGATTAAGAGGCATCGCGAGAATGAAAGAGGGACAACTCAGATCGAGTTATAATTATTATAAAACCCAGGTTGTTTGTGTGTGTGTGTGTGTGTGTGTGTGTATGTGTTCGTTTATATATGGGATCGGATTTCCTACATTTTTCAACCGATTTCAACAAAACTTCACTTTTTTTGGCAGGTAGTGTTTCTTATTGTCTTGCACACTTTTTTCTTTATTTTTACATTCAGAATGCTTTTAAAATTCTATTTACAAGACAAATGTTTATAATAAAATTCTATTCAATCGGTAGACTCATAACGATTGAAAACAATGTTTTTCTTTAAGTTTGGGTTCGACCAATTCGTTAAAAAAAAAAACTAATTAAGACATGCGTGTCCGTCAACAATAATCATTGTCAATTTTATTTTTCAGTCTTTATGAAGGTCGATACTTGATCTATCTCTTACTGTTACATCCCCGGTAACGCCGAGCCCTACTGTTAGTCAGATATAAAATCTATATCCCTTTGAATATGTTGTTCGAATTTTTTTTTATCACTTTTTATTATTCAACACTAGCAGTAGAGCCCGGCGTTGCCCAGGGATGTAACAGTAAGAGATAGATCAAGTATCGACCATCATAAAGACTGAAAAATAAAATTGACAAAGATTATTGTTTAAGGTTGACGGACACGCATGTCTTAATTAGTTTTTTTTTTTCTTTTTTTGTTTTTTTACGAATTGGTCAAACCCAAACTTCAATCGTTATGAGGCTTTCCCTGACGATCCGCTTAGGTGATAACTCAAAGGGTTTTTCAGTGATTCTTACGACAAATGGTGTTAAAATGGTTAAACGTCTTACCTAAAAACCTGGGAAAAAGAAACTCAAAATATATATATATATATATATATATATATATATATATATATATATATATATATATATATATATATATCAGCATTCCCTGACGATCCGCTTAGGTCAAACCTTGATAGGTTTGTCTGGCTCTCTAGGTTTAACTAGGTCTGCTCTACTCATTGTATTGAGCACTTTTGGTTATTTAGTTATTTTGGGTACTCGCATCGGTTTTTTTTTTCTTTGGGCCTTGAAATCATATGCTGGACGATTATTTTCGGTTAACGTACATGTTCTTGGTTCTTTCGTTTTTTTATACCTTTTTTCCCCTTTGGTATTGGCTTGCTTATTCGCAAATCAATACAACGAAGGTTTTCCGAGCGAGTAGTTTCTTTATAAGATTTCTTTAATATAGATATATATATATATATATATATATATATATATATATATATATATATATACTGGATGCACACAGTGAGTGCAAATATAGGACCCCAAATATAGAAAACGGCCGTCCAGTGCTTTCTGCATTCTATTGAAGTTTCTTCTAGACTCAATGAATTACTTAATTCTAATTATCTCAAACCATCCTAATAATTTCTATCACTTGTATATCCTTGCTTGAACCGGCTTCTAATGCTCTGGATGGAGCGGCTTGGGTATAGTCGTCGTGCCTCGTGGGGGCACAGTAACTATGGGTAAGGGAAATTCGGATGAGTTCCACCAAGGAATATGTGATCAAGCTGGGCTATATCGAGTCTAATTCGTTATCTTTTCGTCACCGAGGCCCGTTGGTGCAGTTGGTATGACGTTTGCCTGATAACCTAACTGTCAGGGTTTCAATTCTCGGTAGTGGATGCGTACTGCTGATGAGAAAGAAATGAAAATGACGAAACGGCTGTCCAGTGCTTTCTGCATTCTTCTAGACTCGCTGAATTACTTAATTATCTCAAATCCTACTAATAAATTATCTCTGTATATCCTTTCTTGAACCGCATACACATATATATATATATATATATATATATATATATATATATATATATTCCTGCTTGTTGGAAATCCTCATCTGCTGTTCCAAACTTTAATGAAAAGATGAAAAATAAGTTGAATAATAAGTAGAAAGAAAATGAAGAAAATGCATAGAAAGAAAGAAAGAAGCACATGTAGAAAGAAAAAAGAAAAAGGTAGAAAAAATTAAATTAGAAAAAAACAAAGAAGTTAAATAAAAAAAATGAAAGCAAAGAGAATGCGTAGAAAAAAGAAAGTAAGAAAGAAATGATATTTTAAAAAATACGAAAAATATTACAAAAAAGAAAGAAAAATAAATAAAATAGAAAGGATGAAAGGAAAGAATGAAAAAAATACTCAGATAGAAAATAACGAAAAAGAAAGGAAGAAAAATGCGTACAAAGAAAGAAAAGAAAATTTGAAAAAATGCTTAGAAATAAAGAAATTAGAAAAAAAAAACAAGTTGGAAAAAAAGAATGAATGCAAAAAATGCTTAGAATGAAAAAAATGAAAATGAAGAAAATGCATTGAAAGAAAGAAAGAAAGAAAGAAAGAAAATTACACAGGGTTGAGATATAAAAGAAACAAAGAAAGAATAGAAAAGAAGGAATAAATGAAAACAATAACAAATAAGTAAGGACACTACTGAAAGAAAGAAAGAAAGAATGAACACAGAATAACAAATAAGTAAGGACATTATAGAAAAAAAGAAAGAAAGAAAAAATGAATGAATGAATGTACACAGAATAACAAATAAGTAAGGACATTATAGAAAGAAAGAAAGAAAGAAAGGAAATACGTAGAAAGAAAAAGAAAATATGGAAAAAGAATGAAAAGTACTTAGATGGAAATAAAAAGAAAGAAAATTCGTAGAAATAAGGAAAAATCTGTAAAAAGAAAGAAAGAAAGAAAATACGTAGAAATAAAGAAAAATTTGTAAAAAGAAAGAAAGAAAGAAAATTCGTAGAAATAAAGAAAAATTTATAAAAGAAAGAAAGAAAAAGAAAATAAGAAATAAAAAAAAATTTGTAAAAAGAAAGAAAGAAAATACGTAGAAATAAAGAAAAATTTGTAAAAAGAAAGAAAGAAAGAAAATACGTAGAAATAAAGAAAAATTTGTAAAAAGAAAGAAAGAAAGAAAATACGTAGAAATAAAGAAAAATCTGTAAAAAGAAAGAAAGAAAAATTTGTAAAAAAGAAAGAAAGAAAGAAAATAAAAAAAAGAAAAATTTGGAAAGAAAGAAAGAAAATACGTAGAAATAAAGAAAAATTTGTAAAAAGAAAGAAAGAAAGAAAATACGTAGAAATAAAGAAAAATTTGTAAAAAGAAAGAAAGAAAGAAAATACGTAGAAATAAAGAAAAATTTGTAAAAAGAAAGAAAGAAAGAAAATACGTAGAAATAAAGAAAAATTTGTAAAAAGAAAGAAAGAAAATAGGTAAAAATAAAGAAAAATCCGTAAAAAGAAAGAAAGAAAGAAAGAAAGAAAATTAATGAAAAACAAAGACGGATTGACAGAGAATAAGAGAGAGGGGGAGGTTACAGACGGATGTAGAAAGTGGGGTAGAGAGAGATGTCCAGTGTTGTATTGATGGGTATCAATATCAAGGAATGACATATTTTACAAGGATGTGAAAATCTAATGTTATTAGGTCATCAGGTGTATCAGCTTTTTCCAAGGTCGCAGTGCCCTCGTCTCGATCATGTCGTGGGTGGAAACACTTTTTGCGCTTTCATCAGATTCTCATTCATGGCACCACAGTTACTACCATTATTATTATTTTTATTTATTTATTTATTTATTGGTTCCCCAAGAACTAACATCCTTAACTCATATTATCTGAAAGACTTGCTTAAGCCCAGAATGCCTGATCGATGTTCCAATCAAAAATGATCGATCTGTTTCGTTAAAACAAACATCAATACGAACCATCGCACAACACCCACGCATCATCAAATATTTATATAAAAAGCATGGATGACCTTGCGATTTTCCCGGCAGACTGATCGCCTTGAAAACGGGGTATATTTAATCGAAACCTAATTGAAATTAAAATGTATATTTAACAAACGTTTCTTGAATTAATAAAACGAAACGTTTTTAATACATATAGCTGCTATACCATCCTACCTATTCAGAGGTTTAGAAATTACGTTGTAGATATTTGCATAGACTGACCGCAGTAAATAATGAGATATTAAGTAATTATTTCTCTTAGTAGCTTGTTAGAGGTTAAAAGGTTTTTTTCTTTATGCACCGTGTCTCGTCAGGACGTAAACGAGCATGTCTCTCCACAACTTCCTGTCCTTTATAGCTCTTAATAAAAATTGTCTTTTTATTATTTCTCCAAAACCCTGTTCCACCATCCATTTGCTGAAGCCCTGTTTCCTCTTGTCCCTCTTGCTTTCAATCTGTTCTGTGAGTGTCAGATTTTCTAAGCCTTCTTTCCTCATTATGTGGTCCTGGGTATGACGATAACCTACATCCGGCAGAAAGGCCTCTGATCGGCAGGTTTTTAGGGGTATGGAACCACCTCTTAATTGCTGTTGTTCCCAGGTCCACCCTGACTCGGGGTGGTAGAACCTGTTAGGGTCCCAGCTATGGGCCAATAGTGAACCCCGCAAACTGGAGGCAAAACACTATGAAAGTATAAAAATACATTTTTATAGTAAAATGACCAGTAGCACTTATTTATATTAGAATGACCAAAAATACATTTTATAGCAAAATGACCAAAAATACATTTTATAGCAAAAGTTTGTGCCTGATGAGTTGGTAAAAACAACAAAACTTAAGTCGCACACCAGACGTAGATATATGTATATATATTTTGAAGAATAAAAAATATTAAAAAATTAAAATCTTCAGACACACTGGGTTTTTTATTAATATTCCTTCGTTTTTATTATTATTTCATTTAAATTCCTCGACTAGTTTCGGCCAACATGGCCATCATCAGGAGAAAATAATTTTCTGCTTGCTGGTAGCAGTGAACTACCGAAAAAAAAAATATATATTCAATAAGTACCTGTAGATTGCTGCGTGATAAAACTCAGAGTTTTACCAGACTTTGAGGAAAAATGCATATTTATTATTTATGGTATAAATTGTAATTCTCTTATTTTGACATCGAGCACATTTAGTGCAAGCAAAATTGAATAGTGCATTATACATATATACATATTTTTACTATTTTTGACACCAAACGTGAAAAACGTCAGCAAATATTTCTGTTACTATGTCCCGAGATTTTCGTTGCACAATATGTGGACTTGTACGCAAGTCGCTAGCGCGACTGAAGTGTCACATACGACACAAACATAGAAACTGAATGAGGATGTCGGATCCTCATACGTCGAAATCGACGGAGAGTCCATATATATATATATATATATATATATATATATATATATATATATATATATATATATTACAGTGTGCGGCTTATATTTTATATCATAAGAAACAATTTATACAAAGAATTAATTATCAATGTTAATGTGATTAATCGCGAATTCACTTCGCTAACAAGACATAATGAGACATTAACTTACAATCAATTTCTTGAATAAGATCCAAATAATCGAGTTGTTGTCAAGAACTTTCGACATTTTCAAATTGTCATCTTCATGACGCAATTTTTCCCATACATAGGCAAACACTAAGACGAAATATGTGTAGAGCGAAACATGTTTTTTTTTTTTAATTGTACTATTTATTGACGGGTAACTATATGTTTTAGAGCGTATGATGCCGCGACGCTTCAGTTCTTGTTCAAATCAATCAAGTGAGAAATTTGGTTGAATTTTGAAAAGTGATAAATCCATGCAATTTTCTTGTTATATTTATTTATCTGTTAAAGTGACATAGACTTAAGCATACTCCAGTTAGTAGAGTATATGTCTTATTAGTTTTCCACAGAATTTAAAATTCTGATTACGTGCTGAGGATCTTATTCTGTAAATATTTTAGAGTGTACAGCTTATATGTTATGTCATAAAGAAACAATTTATATAAAGAATTAATTAGCCATGAATTCTTAAATTCTGTGGAAAACTACTAAGACATTTTATTCTACTAATTGGATTAAACTTCAGTCTATTTCACTTTAACAGAT